TTGTCTTATCGGCCGGCCTTGAGCTGCCACTGGATGACCCTGTTACTGAGTGAAGCATCTGAAGGTAAACACCAGAGGAGATTAAATCTGCAACATTTAAATAATGGTGATGTCTTTTTTTGGAGAGTCCTTAAAGGCAGGGTTTGTAGTTTTCAAAAACTAGCATGATTTTGAAAGTAGCATTCCCTCAGTGCTTCGTCTGCACCCGCCCCCTCCCCTCTGTGCTCCCTCTAAAGCCACGCCCCCTCCCTTACATGCACAAGCGGAACTCAGCTCATGCTTTGATTGTGGGCTAGAGCACGCAAGAGGTAGAGAGCGAGCAGGGAGACAGGGAGGCGTCTGATTGGTTCATCAGATTGGTACCTCGTGGCAGACATGGGTCGAAGTTCTTACGTTCTTACAACTGATACAGATGATGGATTTTCTTTGTTCCTTTTTTCGGAGAACATGAGTTATTAATTTCTGTCAGGACCTAAAGACAATTTACACCAACATAATAAAAAGTCGATCTGGAGGAAATGACCAACCCTGACTTTTAAAAACATCTAACCGAGCTCCGCTCTTACGCTCTCTTTGTTTGTACGCTCACTCTTATTACAGGACAACTAAAGAGCCTAGACGATCTTTACAAGACAGCCACCATTTTGCAACTCAGTCAGGCCCAATTCCTTTTTCAATTGAAGGGCCCCATATCCTGATAAAATCCATAACAGATTTAGGGCAACTGAACTGTAGGTTTGAATCAGTTTGAATCTACCCAGGTGTAAATGAAGGGCTAAAAGTGGGAATAAAAGAGGCACATGATGTTGTATTAAGGAAGACTTAAAACTACAAATTGAGACCATGAACTCATGAGTAAAATCTTAACCGAGGTTTGTTTTCCCCTCTAGTTTCATACGTCGTTTTCATTCATGCATTCCTGGAAATTTCTAGATTTATTTCAGGAGGACGGCTCCTGAAATTCTGTGGATCTGGTTGTTCACACTGCTGCGTTCTCACATCAGCTCACTCGGACTTTCTGCGGAATAAATACGAGGAGGCTGGCAGGAGAAACTCCGGGTGAAGTCTGAGAGAAAAATGTGTCCGTTTGCGTTCACACATGACGCTCACACCAAAAACTTCAGGACATTTTCAGGAGTTTTGTGTGAAAGCACTTATCACAGTCTGGCTTCTTTTTGCAACCAATTTGAGTCGCCCCCTGCTGGCCATTAAAACAAAATGCAGCTTAGAAATATAGCCTTTTGCTTTGTCCACTTCTTATATATCTTCTACCAATATAACTTTGTGAAAGATCAAATCAATGTAACCCTCCTGGGATCATGAAGTATAAAACGTCTGTCCTCAGAGTCCTTCTCTGGACTTTAGCAGACCGGCGTAACAGTTCATAAAACAAACATGAAGTAGTGTGTTGCTTTAATGATCATTTGATGGTGAGAAAGGTGATCAGTCATCGCCAGCTGTTCAACACGCCCAAAACACAACATTTCTTTTCGCGCAACATTTTGATATTTCAAACCCTTTTAACATTCCTGAAGGATTTGTAACGATTGATGAAAAATCCAACATTTGGATTTCTACCAAAACCTAATCAGAGTTTTTCAGCTAATCGGTCCAGCACGTTAAACAGAAACCGTCTGATAAATATCAGCTCGCTCTTCCCCGCTGAAAGGTGAGCTAGGGACGTTCTGGGGAGATTAAACGTCTAATAACAGGATCTGACTTCTGCTGCTCACAGAATCAAAAAAAATGATTCAACGTGCAGTTTGCAATGAAAACAGTCTGAGGGGGAAAAAAAGCTATTAATGGAGAGAGGAGCCCCATGAGAGCTGGGCAGGGCAAAGCATGCTGGGTAAGATAACAGAGAGCGGGTCAAAGAGCCGCTGTGTTTGTTGTTCGGAGTTAATGTAGATCACCCGCAGAACATTTTCCACATCGATGAAGAAGTGAAGAGTTTTATGGAGGGTAGAGTCTTTAAGATGTCAGAGGTTAATTATCAATTGGGCGCGGGAGGCCTAGTAGTTAGTGAGCGCGCCCGATGTACAGAGGCTGTAGTCCTCCAAGCGGGCAGCCTGGGTTTGAGTCCGACCTGTGGCTCCTTTTCCAGCATGTCGTTCCCCTCTCACTCTCCCTCCGATTTCTGACTCAACAAGCCATCAGAAAACAAAAATGGTAATCTTCTAAACCTAACTAAACGTCCACAGAGACGTTTGATCGAGATTTTTTTCCTCGTTTTTGGGTAAACTTTAGCCCCTTTTCCACCAATCGGTCCAGTTTGGTTCAGTCCCAGTGGCGGTTCTAGACCACTTTTACTGAGGGGGCCAAACTGGGGCCAGTTGTTTTGTCAGAGGGGAACATTAAACCGAGGTGAAAAATGGACAAAGATAACCGCTTAATTTATATATACATATGTTATGCCAAATAATGGCACACATCATTAAATACCATGATTTATGTTTGTTTCAGTAACAGAATTAAATCACAGCGGGAGTGACACACTGCAAACTCTCCAATAAATTCAACAAAGAAGAAGAACGTGACACAGTAAACAAAGACCAATGATTCCTCAGAAGGTCTGCATCTCCGAGGTCATCCATTGGGGCGGAGCTACGGGCTGACAATAGTCACACACAAAAAAAACAGCCTGTAAATGACTCTCTCCAAATCCACAGTACATTTATTCATGGTGCGTTTTGTGTTGGTCGTTTATTATCACTGTCGCACAGGGAGTGTCGATTCCTTTAGGGTGGGATGTGGTACGCTTGGCACCCCAACAGAATGGTACCAAAAAAGTAGGAAGATACGGATCGTTATTTTGGTACCATTACCAACTTTGGTACGGCAGTTTAAAGTTTTTAAATCTGATTTAAAAGTTGAGGTTTTTTTTTACTTTTTGGATTCTCATCTTGGAAATTGGCCTCTACTAAAGTCAACCTTGAACCTTTAACCAACAATTTCAGTGGTCCTGATCTAAATCTGGGCCAGAGTCTCTTTGACAGAAGCCTCTTTGTGATGCACGAGAGTGACAAATAGATTTATTGCACTGATGATTTATTTTCGCTCGTTAAAGGAAGGAGCTGTCGGGATAATTGCACCAAAACAACGTGACAATTCATTGCTTAATTTGAAGACATTTCATCGAAAACCTCAAAGGTCAACTTGAATGTGACCCTTTAGAATGAATGTCAGGGGGGTATCAGAGAAGTCTGCAGTGTTAATCCTCTGGAGAACAATCTGTAGAAACATATCACTGCACTCCATTCCATCTTTGTTGGGATATCTCCGTCTGGACAAAAGGCATTACAGCTTCCTCCCATAAAGCCAAAGAGAAGTCTGTTTTCTTATCACTCAGAGCCACTCGTCTCCAGAGGGCAGAGTTTAAGCACTCTCTGGTAAAGGATCTATTAAATTAATGTCTTCTAATGCACGGCTTCCTGCAACAAAAGCATTAACTGGGCTGTGACTGAAGGGGAGTCAGAGCCCCCCCCCTGCTCCAGTCATGAGTCAGGATGAGCGCACGGGCCTCAGAGGGTGTGTCGTCATTCCAGTAACTCTCAGTCTGCACTCAAACTTTATTACAACTTAGCACACTTTATTACATCATGTCGTTTAGTCATCCGGTTCCTGCATGTCGTTATTTAGCCACTAATGCATCCTCTTGATCGTCAGAGGTTTGCAGTTGTAGATTAAGATTTGTTCATGCACCCTCCTTTAGTTCTGCAGATAAAGAGCAGCTAAGGGATTAGCACACAGCACACCTTCACTTTCTAAGGTAGATAGAGAAAGTGAAACCTCTTTACACACGTGGGTTGAAAGCACAAACCGGTATTAATGGAGCAGGGGCTGCACAGAGACTGGAGCCCTTCTGAGCTGCTGGGTGGTGCAGTGCCTTGCTCATGGGCACCTCAACCATCGGTCACCAACAAATGTTCTAGAATTCAATATAATGTTAAAATACTTTAATTTAATGCATATCTTCGACAAAACAGCCTTCAAAGTTTGTAAAATAAATATTCAACAAGAAGACAAACATTTTTCTTCCAGTTTAAAAACATACTGAATCAGCAGCTGTTTCTTTAAAGGAAGAATGTGCAACTTTTTGATCCAGTAGATATCACCGTTGAGCTCCAGCATGAAACCAAAACAAACTGCTTTTAGGCCACGCCTCCTCCATACTGAAGCCTCCGCTCTCCTCCAGAGGCACCACCTCACCTCGAGTTCACATGAAGGAGTCAAGCACAAGCAGCGGACAAACTTGTCCTCAGTTCGAGCTGCGATCACCTGTGTCCTGCATTGTTGTGTTAGCATGCTAATGTTAGCGCTCTTTAGTTCGCTCGTAGCTTCACATTGTTGTGTTAGCATGCTAATGTTAGCGCTCTTTAGTTAGCTCGTAGCTTCACATTTCATGTAAACTGACACAGAATGAGCGTGATCTAAAAACTCTTACTAACATCCAAATAATCAGTGAGTATGTTCTTCTTCTTCTCTCTAGTTCTTGACTAAAACAGCTTTTATACACAAGGGGAGGAGCCGGCCGTCCCGTCCATGTAAACACGGCTCTGACAACAACACAGCCAGCGGGACTCGAGCTTCTCCCTCATTGTAGACAGTCAGGACTCAGAGACACATTTACACAGGAGAGACTGGATTTCTGATGTATTTATGTGGAACATGTCGCACATTCTGTGTCTAACATTTAATGTTTCCAGCTGTTTCTTAAGTCTCAGCAGCTGTAATTATTCATCGTCACACCACAAAGCTCCAAATCATCCCCAAAGACCTGATGCTGTTCTTGTCAAGGACTATACTTTCTAATTTATTTCATAATCAAACAGAAATATAAATAAAGCTTTCATGTTTTATTTACTGACTGGTCCACTCACATTGTTTTGTTTACAGCAGTCACTTTTTTAATCCATTTTAATCGTACTAAATTGTGTAATTTAGTACCAGTTGAATATTAAACACCTGTTAGTGATGACGCCAGGCTCACTTTGTCTTACCTGCTCTGAGCGCTGAGGTGTCCCAGCTGTTCAATCCCAAAAAAACAACAACTCCACTTTCTTCTCACAACCTTTGCAGCGATCACAACATCACTGTGTCCATGTAGATATCTTCTTCTGTCCCCTTTAGTTTCCCAACTCCTCTGCCTGAGTCTGAGCGGCAGAGCGATGGGAGGCTTCGTCCTTTCCAAGTTTGGTCTGACAGCTCACTGGACGAGAGAGTTAAGAGAGAGAGTAAAATCTGGTTTTCTCTACGAGATGTTCAGCGCTTTTCTCCAGCCTGCCGATGAGAGTCTGCTCTATATTTAACCTGTGCTCTCAGTCCGTGTTAGCAGCTGAACTGACTGACTGACTGAGGCTTTAACAAACCCCTAACAGCTGAGCTATCAGCCGGTCCAGCAGCCTGACCCCTCCTCCTCCTCCTCCTCCTCCTCCTCCTCTCCTGCTCACAGCCATGCAGGCTCGACTTGGCTCCGCTCTCCCTGGCTCGGTTTGTGTTGCTTGGATGAAGTTTGCCTCTAGTCGTGCTATAGCTTTACTTTGGTTTAACAGGTTTGCTTTGTTTGTCTGTTTCTCAAAGCCACAAACCTTTTACTCTAAATCCTGCTTCAGGTTTCAAGTTTGCCAAAAATACCAAATATGTCAAGTTAGATCTGGGGGATATTATGCTTTTTAAGGAAATTGGGAAAACATTTTTCTGCTTGATCCAATGTTTCAGCCTCTAAATATGTTTATTTTCTTTGTTAAAAAAAAGAGGCGGGGGAGAAATGTTTGTGTTGGATGAAGGCAGTCATGGGTTATAAGTCAGTTTTTTTATTTATCTGTGAGAAAATGTTGAAAACATCCAGACATTTCTCCCTGATTCAAAAATCCTTAAAGGTCACATATCCTCCTCCTCTTCAACCAGTTTAAATAAGTCTCAGAGCTCCTCAAAACATGTGTGTGAAGTTTCTTGATCTAAATCCACTCTGATCCTGTATTTGATCATGTCTATAAACCCCTCTATT